TTAGTACGTTGTGATGATGCTCAGGGAATGAATGTTACGGGAAAAAAACGAAAACAAAAAACAAACAAAAAAAAACGGTAAAACTATTCGTACCATTTTAAAAAAAATGGATATTTGATGGCTGCAGTGAGCGGTATGGGCCCAGTTGGGTTCTACTTTATAGTATGCTCTTTTTACCCAATGGGGTTTAGGCCTAAAGTCAGACTTGAGTTCATGTAGAGGCATGTGTCAGCTGTGATAACTATTGGAGAGACTTAGACTAATTAAGATCACTGACAGATCATTTGGGGAGGGGTGAGGCACGGAGGGCAATCGGGGATGACAGGGACAATGTGGGAGGAGGATGGGTCATAACAGAGGGAGGGGGATGGGGAATCTAGGATGGTAAAACAAAAGGCAAGGTATGCAGGACACAAGAATTGGGAAATTATTTGCTGAGAACATATATGTTGACGTGCTTGATTGAGCCAATGCACAGTGTATTTTGGATGGAAAATTCATTTGTGTGTTGTGATGGGAAAAAAAAATTATAATAAAAAATAAACTATAAAAAAAAAGAGAGAGAAGAGGATAAAGTACTTTTTAAAAATAATTAAAAAAAAAAAGACTTGAATTGAAACTAATTCATTATCAAAACAAAAAGGAAATACTTGCCAGAGGCTGCTGATCCAACCTTGGACCCAGTACAGTTTTTTATTCTTTTAGAATTATTTAACTTTACCATTATCATTTAATTTGACAGGGGCGGGGGTGGAAAGTGAGAAAGCAAGCTGCTAGGTGCAGGATTCAAACAGCAGCTGCCCATGTGGGAGTCCAGAACCCCAACAACCATGCGACCTGCCAGGCCTTCCCTTCCCCTAGTCGTTTCTGTCTGATCTAGTCAGAAACCCAAGGCCTCCCTACAGGTCCTAGTCCTGTTCCTACTGAACCCAATTCATTTTGTCTGACCCAGTCAGATACCTGGCCTCCCCTACAGGGATCAATCATGTTTCAGTCATGACTTCTGAACCCAGTCCAGATAAAAACTGCTCGAACTTGGGGCCAGCAGGTGGCATGGTGGTTAAGGTGCTGGATTTCCACATGGCTGTAGTCTGAATCACAGCCCTGGCAGCTTGCTTCCTCATTTTCCTCTCTCTCTGATCAAACTAAAATAATAACATTAAATAACTCCTTAAAATATATATATTGCTCAAACTCAGAAAGTTCGAAATGCAAATTAGTAAAGCTCAAAACCTGAAAGAGAATTCACCCATGATCCCTAGTTGCCATGAGATCAATGGTTAACAGTGGACCATCATGAATACTTTTATTTGGGCACTCTGTACTCATCGGGGTTGCCGGAACACTGCTCCCAATCCTGCCAACGACACTAACCTTTTAAAAGGAAAGACCATTGACAAGTTTAAATTTAACTGAGTTTATTTGAGCAAAAGAAAAAAATTAAAATGATTCATAAACTGGACAACCCTCAGAAACAAAGAGACTCTGGCAGTGAGGTACAGAGACAAGTTAATTGCTTTTAATTGGTAACAGGGTCTCCCACAATTAACTGAAGTTCCAAAACTAAATGAACTCTCGATGCATGTGGTATATTGGCCCAGTGCAGGAGTCAACCCCTGATCGATGCTCTCTTACAAACTTTATTTAACAACTGTAATTGGGAGTTGTTTCTTTCTTTTTAGCTCATCAAAGTGTTGCTGCAGAGGTTGTAGTCCTTTGGTGATCATATGGGTGACTTTAATGCTGTGTTCTACCCAAGGATCATATTCCATCATTTTATCCTTCAGTGTCTGCGCAACTTCAGCAAATTTTGGTAATGTCCACATTGCTGGTTCTGCTTCCGTTTCTTCCACTTCCTCTGTGGATAAATCAACAAGTTCTTCCAATTCTTCATTCATTAATACTTCTTCATGGCATTCAATTTGTTTTTTCACTTCTTCATTACATATATCAGCATATCTTTCTCCACCAATGTGTCTTTTAATATTTTTCAGTCCAAATCTATTCCTGAATCCGTGTAATCCCTTACTTGCAGTAAATGGCTTGGTGTCACTTGCTTCCGAGGACCCTTTGCTGAAGTCTTCATATAGGCTCAATGCTTTCTGGAGCCACATACTGCCATCAGTTGGAACACATTTTCTGTTCATGTCTTCCATCCACAAATTTAAAGGCCTTTTCCATCTTAACTAAGCACTTATCACGCACTGTGGCTGTAACTTTTGCAGTTTGAGGTGCAACAACAAAGCTAGTACGAATTCCTTTTTCCTTCTTCACAAATTCACAAATAGAAGATTCATTCTTACTATAAATCTTAGTAACCTCAGCATATGATATTTTTTTTTTATTAAGTCAAGAATTTTCACCTTTTCACTCATAGGAAGCACATTATGGGTTCTCTTTGGCATATATGAATCGCCAATATCACTATTCTTGCGCTTTCGGGCCATTATTAAGTAAAATAAGGGTTACTTGAACACAAGCATTACAATACTATGACAGCTGATCTGGTAACTGAAACAGGTACTGAGTAACTAATGGGCAGGGAGCATATACAGTAGGAGACACTAGAGAAAAGAATGATTCGTGCTCTAGGAACAAAAGAACGGGACAGCACAGATTTCATCACACTACTCAAATGATGTGCAACTGAAAACTTATGAACTGTTTACTTCTAAAATTTTCCATTTATCAATAATATTTTTGAACTGTGGTTGCCTACAGGTACCTGAAACCATGAAAGCAAAACTACAAGTTAGGGAGTACTGATTATTGTAGTATTTATTAACTTTTCTTCTCTTCTTTCTCTTGTGCCAATTTCAATTTTTCTTGTAATGCCTTCTGATCTCTGGCATACTGTTCGAATATTGGTTGATAAATATATATTCCTCCAGCAATTCCAAGGATGCTAGCAAAAATCAGTTGTGGAAAAGTCAATCTCCCAAACATGGCTGCAGCACAATGCAAATGTGGTTATGAAAACTTATACTCCACTTCCAGGAAATCTCTTTATATCTGTGTACAAAGAAAATGGGGAAAAAAGTAATAACTTAATACAATATCCTTTTTAAAGATTTCATGTCACTACTGTACTCTGAAATTAACATACCTTTGTCTGAATCTGTAAATATCACTAAAGTAGGAATATAAGTATATTTGGATTGTAGGAAATGAAGGCTAGAAGATGCTGTAAGACAATGCTAAATCCTTCCTATTCCTATGATTTTAAATAGGTAAATTTTAAAAAATTAATTTTTAGGTTTTTGCCATGGGGCATGTATGGTCGCTGGAGAAAACAGAGAAAGACAGAGAAGAAAAGTTAGAAATCACTAACTGGGAATGGTCATGCCAGAGTTCATTCTCCTCCATTCTCCTCTCCAGATTTTGGGCACACACACAGGTGCCTGGTGTGATTTTCAAACTACCAGGTCTGAAACTCACGCCATGGTCAGCTATGTGGAAGTCCAGCACCTTAAATACCATGTCACCTGCTGGCTCTATAAACAGGTAATTTTTTTATTGTTGCTTAGGATTTTGCCTTAGGGCACACATGCTTGCCAGAGACAGAAAGCAAGAAATCATAGCGGCGAGGGTGTGGGGGGTGGCCACAACACAATCCTTTCTCCTCCATTCTCCTCCCCGGATCTTGGCATATGCCTGGCGAGAGTTTTAAGCCACCAAGTCTGGGACTTAAATCACTGAAGACCATGTGAGAGTCCAGCGATGTAACTACTATGCCATCTACTGATCCATAAATAGGTAATTTTTAAAAATTGAGTACCTGGGGGACCAGCAGGTGGCATTGTAGTTAAGATGCTGTACACTCCCACATGGCCGACTGTGGTTCGAATACCGAACCTGGTAGCTTGCTTTCTCACTTTCCCTCTCTTTCTGTCTGTGTATCTCTCTGGTCAAATTAAAATAAATTAATGACTAAATAAAATTAAATAAATAATTATTTTTTAAAAATTGAGTTACCTGTATGCACTCCCAGAGAGACAAAGAGAAAGAGAAAGCACCTCCTCAAAGGGGCTTGGCCATCACCCTAATCCCCTTGCCTCCTTTGTTTCTCTGTCCTGTCAGGATTTGAGGCTCACATATACATGCACCAAGAGTACTTTTAAAGTCACAAGGCAAGGATCCGAACAAGAGTTTTAGCCAGGAGAGTGAGATTCAGCTCCTTTAACCAATAAGGCACCAGCCCACCCTAAATGGGATGTTTTTTGTTTTTGTTTTCATAGACAAGACAGACAGGGGAAGGCGTATTTTTGATGCCTTCAAAGAAAAAAACAGCCCCCAAAAGTTGAAAGCAGTTGGCTCTGAGGAATTGAATCTGGAAAAAGGAAAAAGGGCAGAGAATTGTTACTTTTTATTAGTCCTGTATTACCTCCCTATTTTAAAGCAATCAGTATGATTAGATTTTCTTTAAAAAAAAAAAAAAAAAAACAAGGGAAAATGATTGGGAGTTCCCTTTAATACTTTTACTAAGTAGACAGCAAATAAACTTTGCCTTGAGTGTTTTATAATATAATAGAGATTTCATTGGTTTTAATTTTAACAATAGAGGGGTACCCCAATACTTCCGGGAATGTAAATCTTTGTCAATGTCTTAACCCCTAGTGAAACTAGGTAGATGTTTAGGAATGAGGAAAGCCCAGAGACGGATTTACACGTTTTATTATAACAGTATTTCACAGCCTCCTAAACCAGCCCTGGAGATCACAAAAATCATTAGTGATATACCAATACTAGAAACTCGCTTGCTTTTAACATCCCTGGAGTGTCATTAAAACGAATCTGGGGGTAAAACAGCCTGTTTTCTCTCGGACTGTACGGCTGGCCTGAGAAATGACAACTTCCCCAACCTTGTTTGGTTTCCAACAAACACAAAACCAACCAAAAAAATAGGCATCATTTAAAAAGCCTCAGTTTCTACATGCCCATAACCGGCTAAACCCTCCCTACCTGCTTACCTCGTTAGACAGACACCTTTCGGGTGCTCGCCTGGACAGTGAAATGTTCTACACTGGCGTCCCTAACACGCGCTCACTACCCGGCTCTGCAGCGCCGACGTCTCCGCGCCACCTGCGCCCGCTCGGCGTCGCCCCGCTCCCCACGCACCTCGCCCGTCCCCGCGGAGGGGAGAGCGGCTCCTCCCGGCGGCTTCCGGACCCCGGGCACAGGCTCCAGCGCCCGCGACGAGCAGCAATCCCGCAGGGCAGAAACGCCCGGAACAAACGCAGACGAGCCCGCGGCAAAGCGCTGGGGCGCCGCCAGAACCAGCAGCGTCCGACCACGGAGCGTACCTCGGGGAGCTGGGCAGAGACTACCGTCCTTTCCCGGCTCCCTCCGCGCCGCCAGCGACGGCAGCTCGCAGGGCCAAACTTGTGGGCGGAGCCGCGGTGCGCGCTACTGCAGCCTCTTCCGCCCGGGAAAAGCGGAGGCTGGGGGTCCTTAAAGGGCCCCCAGGCAGGTGCGAGATGGAGCGGGGGCGTGGCGACTGCAGCCTGGCCTTCCGTGGTCTCCAGGACCGCTCCCGGGAGATGAAGCTGCGAAAGAGGAAGTCCACGTTGTACCTCAGCGCCCAGGAGAAGGGCGTCCGGCGCAGCGCGGGTGAGTGCGGGGCGGTCTGGAGAACTGCTGCCCCATCATCTCGTGGAAGCATCCTATAGGCGGGGTCGTCGAAAAGTTCATGGAAAAATGAATCATCTTTTAAAAATGCACGGATTCTATTTTTTGGCACTAAAATAAACTTGTATTTTAATTCCATTTTTCTGCGAACTTGTTGAAGTCCCCCTCATATTTCACTATTAGCCAGTTATTGCCAGATCTTGAGTTTTGAAATGCAGGATATACAGATTTTAACAAAATCTCGTTTTTAAGTGTTGGTAACAAAATTCAAATTTCAGTATTAAAAATATTCTAGATTTGGCCTCTGGGCTGTCCCGGATTTTGGAGTCAGCAGAAGGACCTAGGTTTGAATCTTGTTTACTCATTTACTGTTGTATACCTTGGTCAAGGAAGGCAATTTCATTTGAGTCCCAATCTCCTCAAATGGAAAATAGGATTGTACATATAGTGACAGAGAGAGAGCTTGAGGGTGCGTGTGCTCTCTGGAAAGAAACAGGGAGATGGAGAGAAAGGAGAGGAAGAAACCACCCCTTAGTTGGGCAAGGTCACGCAACAGTCCTTTATTACTCCATCCTGCAGAGATGTTGGGCACACACATCCACCTAGACTGTTTTTCAAGCCTGTAGGGAGAGGCAGGATTCCAGCCCTAGCCAGCCATGTGGAATCCAACCCCTTAACCACTAGATCACCAGACCAGTCCTTCTATAGCATTGTTTTGAGGATTAAACAAGATGTAAAGGAGTTAACACAGTGCCTGGTATACAGTAAGCATCCATATTTTGAAATGTGCAGAGAACCCGTGGTAGTGAATGAGGGCACTGTCTGGAGAAACGATGATCTAAAGGAAGCATCCTATAAGAGGAATCATGAAGTTTATGGAGGGGCCAGCAGGCGGCATAGTCTTTAAGGTGCTGCACTCCCACAAGGCAATGACAGTTCAAGTCCCAGACCTGGCAACTTGAGACTCACACCAGGTGTATGTGCATACCCAAAATCCCTACAGGAGAACGGAAGAGGGGGATTGCAGTGTGGCCATCCCCCCTGGGGAGCGATTTGTCACTTTCTGTCTCTGTCTCCCCAGGTGAGCACACATGCCCTATAGCAAAAATGGAAAAAAAAAAGTTTATAAAAAAAGAATCATAAGGGAACCAGCAGTTAGCATAATGGCTATGTCGCTGGACTCCCACGTAGTCAACCGCGGTTCACGTCCCGGACCTGGTGGCTTAAAACTCATGCCGGGCGCATGTGCGTGTGTGCCCAAGATCCCAAGAGGAGAATGGAGGAGAAGGGATTGAGGCGTGACCATCCCCCCTGGGGGGTGATTTCTTGCTTTCTGTCTCTATGTCTCTCTCTGTCTGGCGAGCGCACGCGCCCTATAGCAAAAAAACTCTCAAAAAAATCATAAAATACATGGATTCCAATTTTATTTTTTTTTGCACCAAAATAAAGTTGTACTTTAATTCCATTTCTCTACAAACTTGAAGTCCCTCTGACATTTCACTATCAGCCAGTAAACTACCCACTGTGTAGGCACACATATATAGAATTGCATCTTGATGGGATCAGCAGCTGGAGTAATGGCTATGTCGCTGGACTCCCACGTAATCAACCATGGTTCAAGTCCCAGACCTGGTGGCTTGGCGTGGCCATCCCCCCTGAGGGGTGATATCTCACTTTCTGTTTTTCTGTCTCTCTGTCTTTCCGGCAAGCGCATGCACCCTACAGCAATTAAAAAAAAAAAAATCTCAAAAAAAAATGGCATCTTTAGTAATGTGTATGCTGGTTTCTTTCATTAGGTACAGATGCAATGTAGCTGTATTAGCCTAAGGCCTTAATTAACCCAGTTCCTTTTTCAATGATTAATATTCTCTTTATACAGTGAGTTGCAAGAAAAATTGGTTCAACAAAGGGAATGGTGATCACCCAGTGGTGAGGCTCTGGCCCTTCTGTAACTTTCAACCCAGGTCAACTTTGATAGTGGTGTGCTGTAGAGCCAGAGTTCACTACTGAGCCTGAGCAAGGGGCCAACCAGAGCAATAAATAGATTTTAAGATTAGAACTGCCTGACTTTTGTACTACAATTACCTGTTTTATTTTTCAGATCTTCTTGTCGAAAACATTTATCTGGTCTTGTTTACCACAGCTTTACGAATATCTAACTGCTTTTTAGTCCAGACAAGTTTTGTTCCAGATGAGTACTGGCAGTCTCTTGAAGTTGCACATCACATGGTGTTTGGATATCCTTTGTAGTTTCTTTTCCAGACTATGAATGTGTATTCATCTTAGAAATTGTTGAGTTTCTATGACATACTTTGTTTTTCATATTTTCTCCAAATGATTTTAACTCATTATTTTAATTAATTTTTTATCTATATCTTTCTTCAATGTAATATACTTGACACAGCTTTTAACCAGGATATATTCCCACAGTGCTCAGTATTTGGAGGCTACAGATAAAGTAAAAAACACGTACATGCCTGCATTGAAGAACCTAAGAGTCTGGTTGGCCAACCAAATTTTTATTCAAATATCCTCTATAAAATGCTGTGTTTCACAACTTCATTATGAAGAAAATACTGTATTATGTATGGAAATGAGAATAGGTTTTGTTTCAATACAATCTGATATTTAGTCCTTAATACTACTAATTATGGTTATTTGACCTGGGAATGGACAGAAAAATTGAGGGGTTACACTTACCCTCTAATCTTCGCAAGCATTTACAAGATTCTTCATTTTTTGGGGAAAGACAGTGTTCAGTTGCTGGTAAGCTTTTCAAAGTAATCAAAATAGTCATGAAAAGTAGGCTTCTCCTGGGCTAGCTGGTGACGTGGTGGTTATATTGATGCAGCCTTCCCTTTGTGATATTTGATTACCAGGTGTTTTTGTTTGTTTCCATTTGTTATGACAGAAAGAGTGAATAAGGGAACCAGCAGTTAGCATAATGGCTATGTTGCTGGACTCCCACGTAGTCTACCATGGTTCGCATCCCGGATCTGGTGGATTAAAACTCATGCCGGGCGCGTGTGCGTGTGTGCCCAAGATCCCGAGAGGAGAATAGAGGAGAAGGGACTTCAGCGTGACCATCCCCCCTGGGGGGTGATTTCTCGCTTTCTGTCTCTGTGTCTCTCTCTGTCTGTCTGGTGAGCGCACGCACCCTGTAGTGAAAACCTCCCCCCCACCCCCGCAAAAAAAAGAAAGAGTGAATAAAAGAAAGAGCACATAGGAGGAAGAATGAAAGCACCCTCAGTAGGGTCTTGCCACACCACAGTCCCCCTATGCCAGCCCTCCAGCTCCTCAGGATCCTAGGTGTTCACACACACATGCACCTGATGTGTATTCCAGGCCAACCTGTGATCTACGCCATGGTCACCATATGACCTCAAACACTGTACCACAATGTCTGAGCCTGAGTTCTGGTTATTGAGAAATGAGGATCAGACCAGTGAAATGGATGCTTCATATGGGAAGATCATGGGAAGGAGAATTTAGAATAGTAGCAGTTTTTCCAGTTGACACAGGTAGCATTTAGAAGCTTTGACCTCACTTTTCTGGATTATACAGGATATCCTTAAAGTCCAGAACCACAGGCAATATGTACATATCATCAAGGACATCATATATCCCAGGAAGTAAACTAGATTATGAATGAAGAGGTCTTCACAACAGAAAACTTTGCTATCCCTTTAACACCTATCTTATACCCTTAACCCATAGCTGACCCACCAGGCCACTTTATGACTTCAGGGAAATCACCCCTAACTCTCCCACCCCCCCAAAGGAAACAAAACAAAACAAAAAACTTCTGTTTTACCTGGAACTTCAACAGGTAGTCATTCATAAAAATATGATCAGTCATTCAAGCTCTCATACTGATTATTTTAATAGGTTGTATAGCTCTGAAGCTAAAAGGGGTCAAAGAATTGAAGTAAACAGACCCAAGGTGACAGTGGGTTAAAAGCAGACCTAGAGTAGATCCTAGGTCTTCTTACTGTCTAGTGCTTTTTCCAGATAGCTTCTCTCTAAACTGCATTATAAGAGGTATGTTTAGAAGTGGGGATGATTTAGAAGA